TTGAACATTTTCTGTGTGCCTGAGTATAGAATGTGTCAGTTTATTCTTAGGTCTGCTTACGTGAGCACATATTGGTTGTCCCCTCCCCCCCCCATTTTGTATCTGAGGTAAATGAGGAACAGAGAATGAAATAACTGCTTGAAGTCATACAGTGAATAAGTGGCTGCACTTCCATTTGAACCTGTGTAGGTCAGACCCTAGCTTTGATGACTCAGGCTTCCTATAATCCAATGGGGGGGGGGCGGTAGTTGAATGAATGGATTTCCTATGAATGAAAGCTGATCATAGTAACCAATTATAATACAGTAACAAACAGGAAGAATAGAAATGGTGTTAATGAAGAGGTAATATGACAGTAAACTGTTTCTTATCATGTTGATACAGTATGGATGGCTGTCACTATGGACAAGCGCTCAGAGAGCCTCTTCCAAGTTATCCTCAAAGATGGCCTATCTCTTCACCCTGTGCATCCATCTGGCTTCCCTCAGGAGTGAGTGAAAGGTTAAACTAGGGAATAATATCTCTCCTCTATAATTAAAACAGGAGCCTGGCATTACAGGAGAGGTGGTAAACTATGTACAGCAAGAATATAGCATAGAGTTCTCTCCCTCTGGTTTTCATGGACAGAGAGAACCCAGACTCAGACCCAAACTCTGTTTGGATTATGTCTAGGACACCCAAGGCACGGTAGGGGTGAAAAGGAGCATATCTATTCTTTGGGGGCACAGAGGCCACCTCTCAACTGGTACTCTTCCATCTTCAGCTCTCTCCAAAGCAGAGGAGTGTCAAAAAGGATGCTGCAGTTGGCAGTTGTTGGGAAGGCTGGGAATCCTCGAGTCTTCTAAAAATAGGTACTTTTGTCCTGGCTTCTAGGCCACAGTCCATGAGAAAGCGAGGGGACTAAGGGTTGGTTGGTATTTCAAAGTTTCCTCCTTCTTTGCCCTCCATCCATTCTTCATCCTTTTTCCCCCCAAGCTCAGGTTGGAATCCAAGGTGTTAAGCATGGAAGGCATGCACACACTCTACCACTGAGCCATAATTTTTTCATTCTTTTAAAAAGATTTTTAATTTTTCTTTTAAAATTATGATATCCATATCTACACATGTCTGTGTGTGGTTTTGTGCATGTGAGTGCAGTACCTGTGGAAAGAAGCCACAATTCAGAAGACGTTGGAATCCTGTAGCAGGTTTCCTGGTGGTGGTGAGCTACTTGATGGGGCTGCTAGGAACAGAACTCCAGTCCTCTGTATGAGCAGCAAGCACTTGTAGTCACTGAGCCATCTCTCCAGCCCCCAATATTTTTTACTTTTAATGGTTCTGAGAAATAGCAAAGTAATTCCACCCTAGAGAAACTCTTCTTAACACACACACACATACACACACACCACACCCTACTAGTTTAGTGTGATGGATGTTACAAGGATGCAATGAAGAGAAGCACATCCCATCCATCTGTCCCAACAGGAAAACCCTGTTTCTTTTCTTTCTTTTTCTTTCCAGGATTCTACCTATTTTTTTAGGACCAAATTCAAAAGTCACAAATGTAATTGATTACCTAGACACGCCTCCAAATACTCTTTAGTTGGTGCCAGACCCAAATGCCTTATTCTACTTTGTGTGTTTAGATTAGCATGAGAAGCATTTTAGCACCGTCTCTTCCCTTCCCTCTTCCTTTGCCCTTCCTCTCTATGTATAGACAGGATCTCACACAGTCTAGGCTCTCTTCAAACGCTCAGCTCCAAACACATAGCTGAGGCTGACTTTGACCTGCCCCTCCTGCCCCCACCTCCTGAGAGCTAGGATTACAGGTGTGTTGCTCCATGCCCGGTTTCATGCAGTTTCATGCAGTGCTGAGGATGGAACCCAGAGCCCCCTGCACTCTAGGCAAGCACTCTGCTAACCGAACTGCATCATTAGCCCATAGGAAGCGTTTGATACATTTTATTCCCCCTTAGTAGGACCCTGACAGAAACTTTTGAGTAAACAAATGCTTTGCTTCAACAACCCTAGAAGCTAAATTATGTGTTTTTCCTTGCTTCACAGAGTGCTGACTTCATCTAATGTTGAAAATAGCAGGTGTTTTTGTTTGTGCTTCCCTCCCCTCGCCCAGGATGCTGGGGAATATGTTTTATAAGTAATTGGTGCAGGCAGTGTCTTTATGTCTTCTGAGCTGCCAGTGAGTTTCCTGCCTGAGGGGGGGTCTAAATATCCTCCAGCTACCTGTGTAGACAGTTAGGGCAGATGGTGTCTTTAAAACTGAGGTTGTGGTATACTTTTTAATGACAATCAAGGCTCTTCTCTAGAAAAGTTTAAGGGAAAAGCAGGGTCTTTGAACATTTCCTTGTATTCTTTCTTTCATTTTTTTTTTTTTTTATTTTTGCCAAGACACAAACTATTCCTTAGGATGTTCACCGATGCCTCTGCTTTTGATTGAAGCCCCACACTCTGGCATCTTTGGAATACCGAGGGGCAATGGTCTTTTTATCTGTCATTTTCTCATATCAGGTTCAGCTCTTGGCCTCCTTCCTCACCCAGGGTGGGGAACAGTGAGTGACTTGGAGCCTCTCTTGTTGACTGGAAGGAACTGGGCGTTGTCAAGCACAATGCCAAGAACTTGACCTGAACTGAGGAATGGGATCCAGGCAGCTGTGCCCCTCACAGCAGGGCTGGCTGCCAGCTCTCAGGGCATCTGGCGACTGGGGAGGGAGTCCTCTGCTGAGACAACAGGCTTTCTGTTCTGTTCAGTGGCCCTGCTCTGATTCCTCACCTGCTGTGTTTCAGCGTCCTTTGGTTAACTCCACCTCTCACTGAATTTTGCAATCTGCTGTCAACTTAACCTCCCCTTGCCTCTCTCTCCTTCTGGAACTGCATTTCTCAACAAAGCTGAAAGCCGACCAAAATGTAGATACCTTTAACTTTTTCTCCACCATGTTCCTGGAGCTGACTTCTTCTGACCTACATACGGGGAAAGGCTGCATTTTTACCGCCATGTAAATGCCACAAATCATCCCCGAGTTTTCAGTTGGGGCTGCTCAGAATGACCTAGAGGCTGGTGAAGGAGCCAGACATTCTTCCAGAAACACTCATTGCAGTAATACACTGGTTACTGCAGCTGACCTCCCTTTGGGGCAGCCCCTGGGCCCCCCAGCTTAATGAGTAGGTTTGGGTGTGTGCATACCCATTTTTGTTCCACCTCTCTCCCATGATTTTCTTTTTTCATCATTTCTGTAAATTACCTCTCTTTGCGTGGAATTTCATCTCTTTTATATCCCACTCCATAGGTCTTGTGCACAAGCTTTTCCTTGAGCTGCTTGTATCCCTAGCCCGATGTTTCTTTATTTTGCTACTCAACTTGGCCCTTGCTTCTTTTTCTAGCACTCTTTGTTCCAGGGCTCAGCCAGAAGACCATGAGTCACTAAAAAGTTTCTAGATAGGTAATCCAGGCATAAGGGCAACTCAGTTGTGTTCAGGGTACCATCCCCCGTCTGGCCTACTTTAAAAATTTTTAATTACATTTTAACTAGTCTCCGTGTGTGTGTGTGTGTGTGTGTGTGTGTGTGTGTGTGTGTGTGTGTGTGTGTGAGCAAGGGCACACGCTCATGTGTGCCATAGCATACATATGGAGGTCGAAGGACAACTTTCAGGTATTGATTCTCTCCTTATATCATGTGGGTTCCAGAGAGAGGACTCAGGTAGCCAGGCTTGTTGACTTGGTGGCACCAATACTTATAGAGCTGACTCCGCCCACTTTTTAACTGCATGCTGTCTTTGGTCTCCTGTTTTTGTCAGCTTGCTGCTATGTCGTTATTCTGTGACTTCTCTCCCATGAAGCCCTTTATCTCAACACTTTAGACTTCTCAGAGAGGTGGCTGTCCTAAAAATGGCAGTGGAAACCCGGGGTACAAGAAAGGTCTTCCTTCTGAATGACTAATTCCTTGAGCGTTCACTGTCTGTTCACCCATATCGGCCTTTGTTTTGTGGACAGAGAACACATGCAAGTCAGAAAGATTCCCATAGGGCTGTGGTTGTAGTTCAGTGCCAGAGCGCTTGCCTATTAAGCGCAAGGTCATGAGTTTAATCCCGGGTATTGTCAGAGCTGGGTAATGGCATCGCAAGTTCAAGGCCCAGACTGGGATACCTCATGAGACTGTCTAGAGCTGTAAAAAAAAAAAAAAAAACTCATGAAAATTCCGGGCAATTGCTTACCTCCTGGACTGCTGCTCTCTTCACTATTAAAATGGTACCCCTTCCCAGAGGGTTGTGGAGATGAAAAGACAGCCGGGAACGTACATTGCAAACTGTGCTGGGGTTGGGGGGGAGGCAGGAGAAGAGGAGTGGAGCTGTCCTGACCTGGGAAAGGATCCAGCCTTGAGATTGCTTTGGTTTTTCTCTGCTGAGTCTTAGGAAGGACTGCCTGCATCATGGGTGCGACTGGGTTCCCAGAGGGGCCAATGGAACTCCTGTTCTTTCTGGGAGTTGCGCTGAGCCAGGCCCTAGGTTATGTGGCCCCGAGGGCGGGAATCACAGCAAGCTACTTTCAACGTTCACTTCCTAGGCAAGACTATAGCCTATTTTAAAAGGGTGTGTGTGGCCAAGCCCAGAGCAGCCTGGGACGTTTCAAACTGGCACCACCTCTTCTGGCTGCTTCTGAGGCCACCCGGAGGCCAGGCCTCGGTCAGATGAACGGAAAAGCAAAGAGAGGACCGCAGAGTCTGAGACCTTTGCGCGGAGGGCTGGAGTGTGGAGGAGGGGAGCGGGAGGGAGGACAAGGAGGAGGGCGCTGGGTGCGGAGGCCCCACCTTTCATTCCAGCGCTGCACCGGCCGGGGCGGGATGAGTCAGGACTGGCTGGCTCTGCTGTGCACCTTCCCATAGGTGAGGGACTCGGACCTCTCTGGGGGAAAACTGCGGTGCCTGCTCGCCCTGGCCTTGGCCTTGGCAGGGTGCTAGAACCCTGGGTCTGCCGAGTCTGGCCTTTGGGGCCACGGCTGGCTTTCCCTGATGTATGGTAAGAGCCCTGCGCGCGTGCTTCCACTTCTCCTGGGCTTACAGCTCACAGGTAAGAACTGGCGGGCTTCTAGAAGTTTTTACCTTCACCTCCCACTCTATGTATAGACCGAGCTCACGTCTTGAAGAAGTCTCAAGGGCTCTGTTGGGAGCTCGAGACCCGGCTGCATTTCGTTCTAGTTCAGACTTCTCCGAAACTTGAGTTCGGTGGGTTCCTTTGGGGCAGTGCTTTGGGCAAACAGGTTTAGGTGTGTTTGGCCGCTCGTGATTCAGGCACAGACAGGGCTTTCTGATCTCAGGTTACACACAATCTTTGTGTGGCTGCTCTCAGCCTCGGGCTGCTGGCTAGAATTGGCCCTTGGATTTCTGTGGGAGGATTTTGTCTGCGACTCCCTGCAGCACCACGGAGCAAAACCTAGATTATCAGAGCGAGAGCCCTGCTGTGGTTTTGAAGCTGCCCCAATGCACACACTGCACTTGTAAATACACCACGTGGTGTAAGGTTCCAGAGGTGCAGGCAAGCTCAGCTGCCGGGGTGGATTAACCCGCAGGCTAGTAGCAGTCCCAAGACTACATACTGGAAAACGTACCCGCTTGGAGACATTTTTTTAAACACATACTTTTTTGCTTGATCTTAGAACTGCATGTTTGACCAACGTTTGAATTTTTGTTTCTATTTTATATCTTATTGACTGATGTTTGTAGTTTGTGCCTGTAGTTCTGAAGTTGGTACTGTGAGGCTGTGAAGAAAGTGAGAGCACTAGGTGGTTAGCAGGGCAGTACTTTTAATTGGTCTTCGGGATGGGAGGGTCAAGGTTGTGTGTAGGTGGGAGTGTATTCAGACTCCCGGTGAAGTGAGTTTGGAGATTGGCTTCTTTGCAAAGTGTCAGCTTTTTTTTCTTAACTCTACACCCTTGTTAACTCTTTTCCTTCCCTTCCTTGCAGCCCTTTGTCCTACAGCAGCTGTGGAAATTTACACCTCCGGAGCCCTGGAGGCAGTCAACGGGACAGATGTTCGGTTAAAATGCACTTTCTCCAGCTTTGCCCCTGTGGGTGATGCCCTGACAGTGACATGGAATTTCCGTCCTCGAGATGGGGGCCCTGAGCAGTTTGTAAGTAGATTCTTATCACCTTCCAGCAGACCCTTGACTAGGATGTATTCAGGCAGTGATTCTCCAGGGTCAAAGACCGTTTCACAGGGGTCTGCTAAGACCATCGGAAACCGTAGCTATTTACATTATGGTTCATAACTACCAAAATTATAGTTATGAAGTAGCATGGTTGGGAGTCACCCCAACATGAGGAACTGTATATTAAAGGGTCGAAGCATTAGGAAGGTTGAGAACCACTGTATTAAGACATTCCTTTTTTTTTTTTTTCCCCTTTGCCTTCCCTGTGTTAGCCACATGCCCGGGGGGTTAACTTGGGAACCAGTTCTTAGGACAGAGAGTGATAGATTAAAAAAAAGGGAAGCAAGGGAGTGTTCTGAGGAGCTAGCTGGACTGTTGCTCAGATTTGCCTCCTGCCTCGGACAGAGTGGGAGATTTCATCCTCTGCCCTCTGTAGGTGTTTTACTACCACACGGATCCCTTCAGTCCCATGAGTGGACGGTTCAAGGACCGGGTGGTCTGGGATGGGAACCCTGGACGGTACGATGTCTCCATCATCCTCTGGAAGCTGCAGTTCGATGACAATGGGACGTACACCTGCCAGGTGAAGAACCCACCTGATGTCGATGGTCTGGTAGGGTCGATCCGGCTCAGCGTGGTGCACACTGGTAGGTTTTGGGATTTGAAAGCTGAACCAAAAGAAAAAAATGCCATCTTTTGTGATGTTGTCAGGGAGGAGGACCTGGGCTTCAGGGCTGGGAACTTCAGAGACTGAAGAGTTCTGGAGTGAAAAAATAAAGGCTTTGTTTGGTCCTGGAAAGAAACAAAGTAACGCAAAGAGATCTGAGGAATCTGTGACAAGAATGGCTTTCAGATGGTGAAAGGGACCGGAAGCTGCTCTGATAAAAAGACTCACAATAGTTGGCACACACTATCTCATTTAATCCGGACACACTATCAGTAACCGTCCCAGTGCTTACTCAGTGCTCCCTGCTCTCAGGGGCTTTACACGATACATTTTATTTATTCTTTTAAAAACAATTCAAAAATTATTACAGTATGTGCACGGGTGGTTTTCTTGCATATATGTCTGTGTACCACTTAAGTGCCTGATGCCCATGGAGGCCAGAGAGGGTGTCAGATCCCGTGGAACTGGAGTTACAGATAGTTGTGAGCTACCGTGTGAGTGCTGGGAATCCAACCCAGGTCCTCTGAAAAAGCAGCCACTGCCCTTAACTGCTGAGTCATCTCTCCAGACTCATTTATTCTTTATACATCTCATGAGCTGTATATCAAGTGTCTCCCATTTTACTAACAAGGAAACTGAGACTCACTAAGTTTAAGTCTCTTGCCCAAATTCATATAGTTAGTAAATGAGGTCACTTCAGGCTCAAACTCAACCATCTTAGACTCTCAAACTGTTCTCTAACTAGTTTATTGAGTTGCCTGCATTACATGGTCAACCTGGAAAATGATGCCAGGTGACAAGGAACATGGATCACAACATTTCTGAGTTGGACAACTGGGGGTTGAACCCTGGCTACTTGTGTATCAATTGTACTTTTGTCATGAGTATGGTGAGAATAATATAACAAAGATTTTGGTGAGGACAAAATGATGCAATGAATTTATGAAAGTCTTTCAAAGTCTGAACTGTACTGAAAATTATAATAGCTACATGTATCCAACACTTATGGGCAGGCACAATTTATAGGAATTGTTTTATTTTTTATAAGCACTCAAGAAATGAATATTGTTCTGTCTTAACACAGGAGGAAACTGAGATTCAATAAAAATAAATAAGTAACCCAGGTCACACAGTTAATTAGATAAAGCTAGCTCTCTTGTGTGTGTGTGTGTGTGTGTGTGTGTGTGTGTGTGTGTGTGTGTGTGTGCCTATGTGCATGTACATGAGAGAGAGAGATAGAGATACAAAGTTTTGCTATCTGAGAAAAGATTTCTCAATATAGCTCAGGCTCCATCAAACATGAGATCCTCCTGCCTTAGCTTCTTAAGAGTTAAGGTAGTTTGTGTTCTTAGCTAACACACAGCATTGTTTAAAACATCTTAGTATATCAAGTAGTATGATTGTCTCCTGTCACTATTACCTAGATCAGTTTAAAGCCATCTTTCTAAGCTCTACCAAGAGACAGCTGTGTGGTCTACATGGATCATTTGAGTACTGAAAGAAGTAATATCTTCAGCCTCAGTTGTTTTTGTTTTGTTTTGTTTTTTCTGATAGGTTAGGTTAAAAAAAACCCAAAACCACAAACAAAAACAGCAGAAAGCAAACAACAAAAACAACACAAAGACCAGCAGCTGTTCAACATATCAGCATCACTTTTTTTTTTTTTGAGAGCCTATAGAAAGCTGTGGCTCTGTTTCCCTACTTTAAGAAATGGAGGTACACTTAAATAGACTCCCCATTCTCTATTATATGTGTTTTGCTTGCACATATATCTGTGCATCAATTGTGAGCTTGGTGCCTGCAGAGGCAGAAGAAGGCACTGGATCCCCTGGAACTTCTTCATCCTTCCTGATGGATTCTAGGCTGGAAACTCCTGACACAGACATTCTCTTGATGTCCTTTCTGGCTCTTAGGACTTATTGCTTTACTTGCCTGTCTTCCTGGGGATGGCACACACACACACACACACACACACACACACACACACACACACACTCACAGAGCACCTTGGGTATAATGCTTGTGGCCTTTCATTTCTATCATAATGACACAGTAGGCACTTTAGAGCCTGAATGGATGAAGGGGTGAGTAGTTTGGCAGGACTGTGTTGGACAGAGTTCTGACTAGGTTAGCAGTAACTTGAATTACCGGCAGTTTAACTGACTCGGTGGTTCTCAGTGTTTGGCTGTTGTCACCATCACCTGGAAGACATGTCCAAACGAAGACTAGATGGCTGGATTTACCTCCCCCCCCCCCAGTGCTTCTGGTCCAGCATGCTTGGGGTAGGGCCTGAGAATTTCACTTCAAAGCTCTCCAGTGGTGATGTCACTGCTTCTGGAGTCACGCTAGAGAAGCTCTGATGTAGTGTGTGTGTGGGTTTCCCACTGCTGCCAAAGGCTACAGCATGATGTGCTGTTTTACTTGTAAAAGTAGGAGAAAGGAAGATGCTGGTTAATGACGAGATGCATTATCATTGCCTTTAGATTTCACTTCACTCACTGCTCTGTCTTGTCTTCTTCTGCTCACAGTGCCCTTCTCTGAGATCTTCTTCCTGGCTGTGGCCATTGGCTCTGCGTGTGCAGTGATGATCATAGTAGTAATTGCCGTGGTCTTCTTCCAGCACTTCCGGAAAAAGCGATGGGCGAAAAGGGCTGATAAAAATGAAGGGATAAAATCGTAAGTCTGAGTGAGCACGGGTGGGAATTTATTTTTGACCAAATGTGTGAGAGGCTCTATTTCACAGGACAGATAAATTAGGACATGGGCAGTAACTTTACAAAAGGCTTCTTAATGCGGGCTTGAGAGATGACTCCGTGGTTAGGAGCATAGACTGCTACTGCAGGGGACCTGAGTTCAGTTCTCAGCACCCATATCTGGTGGCTCATAGCAGCTTGTGACTCTGGCTCCAAGAGGACACAACACCTTTGGCCTCTGTGACCACCTGCACTCATGTGCACAAACCTGCATCCAGACAGACACGTGCACACACTTAAAAAACAAAATAAATCTTTAAACAACAATAACAAAATCCAAAAGTCTTCATAATTTTACACAAGCTCTCACCAAAGAATTTCGTTATTATGTGAGCTTTTGGTGCACATGAAGCTTTAAGAAAATCCTCTGTAAAGGGAGGCACACTGGTCAGAGCTACAGGGTGAGGCACCCAGCAGTCACTGAGTCAGTGGCTGGGAAAGTTTGCTGTGCTGACAACAAGTGCTCAGTAAACATTTTAAAACTGAGATAAAATTTATAAGCTATAAAATTCACCCATCTTGGACAACAAGCTGGCTTAGCAGTTGAGAACGCTGCCTGCTCTGGTAGAGGACCTGGGCTTGGTTTCCAGCATTCAACTGCTTGCAACTACAGATCCAGGGGATCTGACGCCTTCTTTTGGCTTCTGTGGGTTCTGCATTTACATACTCACAGGCAAAGCATTCAGATAAAATAAAAATAAACAGACCTTTGAAAGAAAATGCACACTTTTAAATATACAAAGTTGTGTAATAATCACCAACTCTAGAACCTTCTAAACATTTGCCCCTGAAGAAACTCCCCATCATCTCCTCATCATCACCCCTCCCACCAGCTCACAGCTACTCACCTGCTTTCTGTCTAGCAAGCCTCTGGGATCCTTGTGTCTCCACCTCCCAGCACTAGGACTAAAGGGATTCACTACCATGCCTGAGGCTTTTTACATGGCACCAGGAGATCTGAACTTAGATTACATACAGTTTGCACACTCAACTATCTCCCTATCCCCATTCTTTTTTATGGCTGTATGATATTCCACTATAATGGACACACCGCATATTGTCTATTCAGTTGATGGACATATACTGTGTTTTTTTCTCCTTTTGGCAATTATAAATAATATCAATCACTATGAACATACGCTACACAAATTTTTGCGTACACATACTTTCGATTCTCCCGACAATGAAGGGACAATTGCCAGGTCATTGGTACTATTGGCTTTTTGGAGAAATTGACAAAGTGTTTTCCCATAACAGCCAATACACTCCTATCAGCAGTGTATAGGCATTAGAATTTCTCCTCGTTCTCACCAGCATTCACTTTTGATTATTGCCCTCTAGTGGATGTGAGGTGTTATCTCAGGTGATTTTGATTTGTATCTTAGTGATGACTGATGGACCCCCTCCTCCTCACACGTGTTTAGTGGCTGTTTACAGAGCGCCGCTGGAAATGTATGTGTTCAGATAATCTGCCCACCCTCAAACTGAGACGGATGTCTTCTTATTGTTAAGCTGTAAGGGTGCCTTGTCTCCTGTCAGTTGCATTATTACCTGCAATTGCTCCCATTCTCTGAGTTCTCTTTGCTTCTTGAGTATTACCCAATACGACACAAAAGCTTTCAGTTTTGATGAAGTTCATCTCTTCCGAGAATTTTATGTTTTCAATGACATTCTTACATTTATATCTTTGATGTATTTTGAGTTAAGTTTTGTATATAATTAAGAGTCTCAATTCATTCTTTTGCATTCGGATTTATAAGTACCCCAGAACCACTTACTTATTTTAACTAGTAAATATTTATTGAAATATGTGTAATTGATGGGGAAGCATCTAAGGAACCCATCAATGGCATTCAGGTTTAAAGAGAATATAATCAATAAAGAGGGTTTCTAGGCCAACTAAAAAAATATTTTCCCCTTTTTGCAAAGGAGTGTAGACATTAGAAGTAAAATATCATGATGACGTATAGGTGTGCACTTTAAACTTCAGTCGTACTATATTAGATCTTCTGGGATGTGTCTGAGTTCAGACTCCTAAGACGCCTGGGGGCATCAGTATTATCACTTACACAGCACTGGCAGTTTAGTTGTCTGTAGCTTGAATGGACTTCCAAGTGTCTGTACCTTTTCCTAAAGCATGGGGGTGGAGGGGGGGTGCGGGGAGCTGGAGGGCATGGAGGCTGGGTACCTCACCTGGTGCTGCTATGGGACCTGCCGCCTTTGCTTCTGTCTTGCTCATCTGACATGTGGTTTCTGTTCCTTCATTATAGAACAGAAGAGGAAAAACTCAAACAAGAGAACAAGGTCTCCATTTATTTGGAAGATACAGACTAGCACTGCAAGGTAAGGTCCCATGTGGGTGACTTCTATCTTCAGCTTGCTCGGCGGTTTAGCATATCTCCCACATGGACAGATCTCTCTGGTCACTCTACATGGCTGATGACGTTCCAATTCAGAAGCAGAGGCCAGGCAGATTCGCCTCCTATTAGCTTTATAGGTGGTGACTCTCCCTTTCCGGGCCTTGTGCATGTGATTAGGAAGCCAGACTACCTTTAAAGCTGAGAGGAGTCTACTTTTTGAGGTTTGGGGATTATATTAACCACCACCAATAATGAACTTCCAACCTGTGAATAAATCATTTCAGTGTGTGTGCATGTGACAACCTCGGTGCCATCTGCCTTGTTTTTTGTCTTGTTTTATTTTCTGACAGTCTCTCACTGGCCTGGGACTTGCTGTTTGAGCTAGGCTGTGTGGCCACTAAAGCTTCTCTCTGTCTCACCAGTGCTGGGCTTCTAAGCATGTGCCACCATGTCCAGCTGTTTACATGAATTCCGGTGATTGAACTCAGGTCTTTATTCCTGTATGGCAAGTGCCTTAACAACTGAGCTCTCTACCCCAATAAATAGGCTTTAATGAGAAGATTAATATCTGATGGTTTGGTTTTTATTATAATCATTTTTGGCATGATGGAAAGTGACCTAAGGATCAGAGGGATGGCTCCGTTGTTAAGAACACTTCCTGCTCTTGCAGAGGTCCTGAGTTCAGTTCTTGGCACCCACTTGGTGGCTCACAACCCTCCATAATCTGTTCTAGGGGACCCACCATCCTCTTTTGAGCTCTTTAGGCACAGCACACGTGGTACACATACAAATATGCAGTTAAAAAACTCATAAAATACAATAAATAAATCTGAATAAAGATTAAAGAAAATTTAACAAATTAATGTCATGTGGTCTCTGACAGAAGATACAAATTTAAGCAAATTACAAAAATGAGGAGGCTGGGTTTGGCATGATGGTAGTACTCCATTTTAATTCCAGCACTCAAGAAGAAGAGACAGGCAGATCTCTGTGAGTTCAAAGCCATCCTGGTCTACATAGTGAGTTCGAGAGCAGCCAGGGATATATAGTGAGACCCTGTCTGGAAAAAAAAAATGGAGGTTGTAATTAAGATTTTGAATATGAACATGAGTGTGGATAGTAGGGCGTTATTAGGTGTATAATGATATTATGGTTATAAAGGAAAACAGGTTTTTAAAATGCATGTTATAATATGTAGAGGTAAGTCTATAATTTAAAAAAATGTCAGCCATAAAACAAAGCAATAAATAATGCCAAAAAGAAAGGAAAAACTTTCAAAGTAGGCAATGCATGAATTCTACATACTGACTTCTCTGCTTTCCTGTATGTTGATTTAATCAATGGGGGAGGGACATGGGACACAAGCATATTCGTGGTCTGTATATTATGCAGGTGTCCACGAAAGGATCTTAGAAAAGACACTGCCAGTGTGGTGGTACACGCCTATAATCCCAGCACTTGGGAGGCTGAGGCAGGAGGACTGTTGTGAGTTCTAGGCCAGTGCTGGCTACATCTGTGAGTGCCAGGCCAGCCAGGGCTACGCAGCACAGCACACAAAAAAGACACTGGATATGATAACCATGTAATAAAGAGCAGGAAGCAAGCTCTTTGAAATTAAAAATTGAATTAGTGGGAGAGGAAGTTCAAGAATATTTTCCATTAGGAGTTGATTATGGATGCCATGGGTATGTATGTGATGGGCACTGCTAGGTATTGCTCTTACACTCTTTCCAAGGACATCATCCTTTTAAACTTTTGTATTCCAGGAAGCCGAGGATTTTCAAGGACAACATTAGTAGCCCTTGAAGTCAATGGAAACTTTTCCAGTGATGACCTGTCATCCCGCAAGTTCTGCTGCACAAACCTGCCTAGATGAGCAACGCCCCTGCCGAGCAGCTTAGGGCTCTTCCTGAGCAGACACCACTAGACTCGTGTATACCTTCAATATGGGGATTTTACCTAATTCCAGAGTGCAAATGTGTATTAGCTTTTGCAAACTGGAAGTTACATTTTTGTCCTTCCACGTGCCTTATGGGGTGTGACTACTGTGCTCCTGTGTGCATTGGAATCAAAGGGCAGAAATGCCAGCTAGCCTGCCTGCCGGGACACTTCTTCTCACATTTTGGTTTCTTTAGAGCAGCCCAGGGGGATGCTAGAGGGTCTGGAGAGATGGCTCAACCTTTAGCAGCACTTGTTTCTCTTACAGAAGATCCCAGTTCAGTTTCCAGAATTCACATGGCTCACAGCCATCAGTAACTCCAGTTCTAGGGGATGTGACACCTTCTTCTAGTGTCTACAGGCACTGCATACATGTGGTACATGTACATACATGAAGGCAAAACCCCCATATGAAAATAAATCATAAAAAGGTGAGCTAAACCTCCCAGCCATTTTTGATTAATAGCGGACCCCAAATTCACACCAGAAATCTGATTTTCATGACTGTCTTTAAGTATTAGACACATCTTATTTAACTGAATTTGTTCAGTATCCTAGGTTTAATGACAATTAATACAAGGTTTATAGTGACAGTGTAAGTCTAAGCATAGTAACTACAAAGGTCACGGGAACACCAGTATACATACCAGCACATGCTACCAGGAACAATTGCTCACCGCCATTTTTATGTTTTATTTTTCGACAAGTTCTCGCTATGTATCACTGGTTGGTCTAGAACTAGCTATGTAGAGCTGGCCTTAAAGTCAGAGCCCTCCTGCCTCAGCTCTCAAGGGCTGGGATTGAAGGTGCACCACCACATCCAGCCTCACGACAGGTCCGTACTGAATACAGAGCTTACTTACTGTGTTCTCCCTCCCACAGCAGAGCCCATGCTCATTCCAAGACTGGAGTCCTTAGGCAGTTTATTAGAAGGCTTTGTGATATAATTAATTGTATTACAACTTTAAAAAAGATTTAGACTTGTAAGAAAGGCCAACCCAAAGCAAATAACCTTTTTGTTCAGTCTTACAAAGACGGTGAGTTAAAGTTCTTTTGGTTTTAATTCACCTTATTTTCTCTCTCTCTCTCTCTCTCTCTCTCTCTTTTTTTTTTTTTTTTTTT